ACAAATAATATAAGAGACATAATTTAGTATCACCAGCGTACTGACTGGGGGAAATTAAATTAATTTCATTGGTTGATATTATCTACAAACTTGTGAATAGTCATTAGCATATCCAACATTGTTCAGACACTCAAAGGTGGAAGTGAACAAAACTAAATGGCCAACCATATCTAGCAGAAGAAGGATACATATTAACCTTTCTAGGATGAGGTTCATATAATTGACAAGGAGCATCATTAGAAAGTGAAGAAACTAAAGCAGGTAGCGTATATCAAAATATCAATCAGGTGTGTAAGTCAAGCAAATATTAATTTCAATACTATATAGTTTTCTTTGTCTAAAAATTTGATGTTGTGAAAACTCCTACTTGGAATAATTTGGAATCATCTCAGTACAGTAGAACCATTTGAAAATAGGCTTATCAGGTGGGTACATGAATGAACAATTTTTGTTGCCAATTTGTTTTATCTTCAGAAGGATGTTTTCTTTATTCTTGTGATAAAGGCTGAAGAATGAATCTATTGAAACCTGTGTTGAAAACAGTAAATAAAGACATCTGGTTGTCTGCTCACTGTTGGATAAGTCACTGAATTTTAATTCAAATTTTGTACTATCTACCCACCACAGTAGATTGTTGGTCTGAGAAAACATTGAAAACAGACATTTGGAATTTAGAATAATCAATCAGAAAAATAACACTAATCAAGTACAGAATAAAACAAGGATGCTGGGTAGCTAAAGAAATGACCAGTCACTGCCCCTGGCTATATAAGTATCAAATTTAAAGACCAATCCTCTTTTTCCTCTACCATGTTAATTAGGCAGCACAAAGTAATGCTGCTCCTTCACCACAATCCCATTCAGTGGCATTAGGTTATGGAGGAATAGGGTCAGCAACTTCAAGACAAATTACTGTCTAAAGAAGCTAGCCAAAGACTGAAAGGCACTTCTCCCTCAACAAGGACTGTTGATAAGATAACTGGATATCTTTCTCCTAAGCTAAGTCTGCAGACACACATTATCTACAATCACCTCATTATTTTTCCCTTTTTTTTCTTTTTTTCTAATTAGATTAAATATATTTAAATAGTACTTGCTGTTGTGTTTCTTTTTCTTCAAAAGCTGTTGTCCAATTTCTTTGAAAACATGAGGACTTAGCACTAACTCTCCATAAACTTGGGGTTGTATCTTGGCATAATATTGTGGATATAATTGCCACAAAACTAAAACTTTTAAAATAAAATAATTATTAGTGAAAATTACTAATAATGGATGAAAAAGATTCATCTAATAAAAATAAAGGTAATATTACTAGAGTAATGGCAGTTGTAGAATGAAGTGATGAGTTATGAATTAGATATGCTGTAAAAATTTCAGATAGTGTATATCTGTAAAAGGACTATGAATAAAGACAAAAGAAAAAAGATAAGTAGCTAAGATAAGTTTTCTTTTTGTCTTTATCCATTAGATATGATCTTTGGGAAAGCCATCAATTTCTCATAGTTTTATGGTTAAAGCAACCGAGTGTTTATTCAAGCATTGCTAAGAAAAAAAATGCATCATCTTGAATCTTACTAAGAGTTTATTCTTTATTTGCTATCCTCTACTGTTAACACACTGCTGTAGATTGACAGCCTAAGTAAAATTGCAACAAAAATCAAATAGAAAATTAAGATGAAAGTAAATATGAATCAAAATTAATAATGGTTGACAATGATTCATCTACTAAGAAATAAATTAGACAGCAACTAATACTTTTTTCTGTATGCAGGTGGTGTAATATTTAGCAGTTTGGAATGTGGAAGTAGTGAACTGAGTTTGAGTTCTGGTCAAATTCATTGCATTCACATTCACATAAATACCCTTGGAAACAGTATGAATCCATCTGTCCTTCCCTTATCTATGGATAAAATAGTAGGATAGACTAGGGTCTCTAGCCACATTTGACAAACAGTCTGGGAGAATGACTCTCTAAATCAAAAACTGTGTGTAACCCTTACATAGCACATACTATACAGCCAAAAAAAAAAGTCTCATGGAGTTCACAATGACACTATGATAATAACTGTGTCTCACCTGTGGTCAATTAAATAGACAGATACTTTTTAATGTCACAATCGCTGTGTAGTAATTATGATTCTCTACAAATAGTTTTTTTTATTATCTGAGAATGATAGTGGAGTGGTTTTTCATTTCATTCTCCAATTATTTTGAATTCAGAGTTATCCTTTTGATAAATTGGATGCCACACCAGGCTAGAAAACCCTGTCTAACCTGATATTTAACCCCAAGTAGAACAAAAGGCAGATGCATGTCTTTTCAAAGGGTATTTATATGAAAGTGAATGCAACAGACTAGCCTAGAATTTGAAATCAGTTTGTTGATACATTAACCTCACAGTCTCCTGATACAACAGACTAAATTGAAATTTAAACTCAAATTGCCGATTTCAAATCCTTTGCTGATATCTCTTGCTCTCTACTCTCACATATTTCTGATACAACTAGTGTTAGGATCTAAAACATAAATCTCTAATAGAGGCTATGAAATGGAGTGATGTGATTTGGCTTTCAGTAATTCTCCAAAACTGTTCTCAGATATTAGCTATCTACCAGGCTTCACTGAAGCTAAAAAGACATGTCTGAATTTTAAGAGATTATCTTTGATTTTTTTCTATACTTCTTGTTCATCCAATACAAGGTCTAAGAGAAACCCACAATCAAGGTTTACTGATATAAGGAAGGTGAAAGAGAGGAATAGTGTGAGGATATGCAGGATTGATAATGGCTGAACTGAGACTTGAAGAGGTTAAGATTGTAGTGATTGATTGGGGATACATCCTTATCCTTCCACAATGCAATGATTCTGGGAAGAAGCACTCTGAGTTGAACTTCCTCCTTACCAATGGAATATGAAGGAAATAAGAATGAGTTCATTCTGTGCACATGGTATGATGGGTTATAACTGTGGTAGTCTGTCCTGGTGGAGCTAATGCTTATAGCTCATCTGAATATCTACCATGAAAATAGAAAACAGAGTAACAAGAGACTAGCAGCATTTTGTCTATGGGGAAAGAGGATGTAGGATGGAAAATTAATAATCATCCACAAGGTTGCATAAATTATTTCTGATCCTCTGATATCTACTCACTATTTGAGAATTGATGACTATTTTTTAATTTAATTTTTAACTAAATAATTAAAATGAAAGTAAATATGAGTGAAAGTTACTAATAATAATATCTGATCATCTAATTAAAAAAAAAATAAACTAATAAATTTATATCAGGTCATTCTACGTGTGCTACTGGTTCCATCATCATGCTATTCTAGAGGAGAGGTGGGCTAGACAATCAGCATGATTAAAATCAACATCTGTCAAAGGCCAAATAAACCTTGTAAGCTCAGTGGACATTTTGCACAAGGTGCTTCAGCCCAGATATGTGGAGGGAACTGGTAAGGTACACAGCTGTGCAACAGCTTTATGACCACACCCAATCATTGAACTGATGATGATGAAACAAAGTGTTGTGGCTATGGGTATGCTTATTTGTATCAAATAAGAACAAACATGCAATTCAAACTTTTATACATTTTATTTACTATTGAGTTGCAATAGATGTAAAAATGACCAGTGGATTAATAGTGTCCAAAAGGAACACAAGAGAATGCCTGACAGCCCTCTTGAAATCTCTTTTCTTTTCTGTTGTCTTAGAGAGTGCTGATGAAGGTGCAGAACTTGGTTCCCATCTATGGAGTGAATTATCTCCTTTGTCCTCATACCATGAAATGTTTGAAGAAAAAGAAATGTATATAACTAAAACTTGTAAATTAAAAAGATCATGTATTCGATGGGTCACATGAAAAGCTAAAATATATGTTCTCATTTGTTCGCATGATTTACATAATAGGTAAGGTTTGGGATCATGAGTTTATTTATAATATCTATTTTTTATTCTTGGGGTATCATTTCTAAACAGTCTGTTTAGCTCTTCTTTGACCTTTGAGTAATGATTCATAAAATTTGGTCTGCTTTTCTTCTCCCAGCTATGAAGTTCACATGTAATCAAGTTAATTAACTCCTTCCCCAATTATATCACAATAAGCCAAGGTTTTGACAAAGGTGTTTAGACAATAACCTGAACCCTTTCCCAAAGTCAGTAAGTTGTTATTTCATTAGATTTTGAAAATCAACAAAATAAATTTAATTACCCACAACATATATCAAATTTGTCTTTATCATTCCAATCAATTGATTTTCACTCATGACATCTGTGTGAATTCACATTTGATTGGTGTTCCAAGGTTAACATATTTATTATCGACAAAGTTATACACACAACATTATCTCCTTCTATATGCAGTATCTCTCCAGAATATGGGAAATTATGGCTCTCACAACTTCCTGTACTTTGTATAAGCAATATTTGTCCCCTTACTATCACACCTGGTCCCTGTTTTGCTATCCATTTGCAGAATCTAATGAGGTAGGTTATTTGTTATTTCCTCTGTCACTCTTGCCTTCAGTATATCATGTGAGTGTCAAATTCTCCACACCTTCTTTGCTCATTATGTGTTCCAGATATTTCAACTGTTTCTTTCTGATTCTACATAAAAGTGTCCTTTTTGTTTCCATTTTCCCTCAAGCTTCCACATTTCTCAAATGTTCAGTCCATGGTATTCCAAGCATCCTTATGTACAACCACATTTCTATTACCTCAAGTGTTTTCTTTATATGAAGTTTACAAGATTGTATGTACTGTGAATTTGTGATATAGAACTGTTCATACATCTAACATTTGTCGGTTCACAGCCTAGTGAATCTATCTGCCAATATGCATTTTTAAATTGAAAACTTATTTTTAATGGTCCCTTTTTCTTTATTTACAGGTGTCCTTCATACGAGCCTTGCATGTAGTCAAATGGCACTCCTGACATGCATGCAGCCAGTGAAACAATTTGGAGATATGACGCAAGGATTATCAGGAGTATTTAATCCAGAACAAGTGAAAAGTTTCTGTCAGTAAGTAACTTCAACATTGGATCATTTGTTTTTGGCTTTAATTTTTATAATGCCTAAGGTGAGAATATGTAGATGGGATCTTAAAAGCAAAGATCAAAGTTATGAAGTATAAAGTCATTTATAGCATCTTATTTCTGCTCTTGTATATTCTTTGTACAACTGACAGCATCTTATATACATGTATATACATATATTTTTTTTTACAATGAGGTTTACCCTGTAAAATGCCTGGGAGCCACTCGGGGTAGAGGGTTACAGAGTAAGAGGCACAGTTTATGCAGATATATCGGGTAGATAATGGTCAGCCCTAGACTTGAAAAGGTTAAGATGGTGGATGAAATAAAGAATTCAGTTTAAAATTGCAACATATATCAACTGAAGAAGGCCAGAGTGTACATTGTGAATATGACAATAAAGATGAGACAACAGTCCAAACAATGTAAATAGTGTAAAAAGATTGTAGGGATCAGGGAAACATCTTCTCAGGAGTCAGTTCCGCAGAGTAGTGGAACTTAGATCTCACCAGTGGAATATGAAGGGAATGAGGGTAATTTGCTAGCATGTGCATAGCATGGTGGGTCTTAGCCACAAAGGTTAGAACTGTAGGAACTATGGAAGTACTTTCCATGGAAAAGGTGATATAAAAAATTTCCCAGATTATATGTGCAGTAAATCAGTCTGAATTAGTCTGCTAATATGCTGTATACTATCTAATTATTATGTTTTGTAACTTCATATTGGAATGGTATTTGAAGCAATATTCCTGTGTCAAATTTTGCCTGAAGCTCAGCAAAACTGCTGGCAAGATCTTTGAAATGCTTCATCAGGCTTTTGGCAAAGATTCTTTTGGATGAACACAGGATTTAGGGTGGTTGGGGTTTCAAGGCCAGTCAAAATAAGCATTCAGGGCAACCAGCCACCAGCAAATGACAGAAAATGTAAGGAAAAAAATTTGTGAACTCAACCATGAGGACCTTGAAATATATATATATATATATATATATATAACACTTTTGTTTTATTTATCTCTTAACAACACTTTCATACTTAGCGATTTTTCAAAATTGTTTCTGCTTATTATTGATGCTCTCGGCAGCTATTGTTCATTTCATTTGATATTTGTATTAAATATCTCTTTTAAAGTATTTAAAATTAATAACTTTTATACATTTAAGAAAAGTCATATACAAAAAAATACATAAAATATATAAGTTAAGCAATAGTATACTAGGCTTAGTCCAGGAATTTTCTGATACTATATAATGTAAAATATATATATATATATATATATATATATATATATATAATATAATAATATTAAAAGAAGATGATTATATTAGCATTAGTAAATTGAATGTAATTGATTCAACTGGAATTCGAACTTGGCTCTCCAATTCCTCAATCTGAGCCACTATCCATTACCCCATTATTCTCATCCGGTGGGTAAGTAGGAGCTCTTAATTCAAAAACTGCAAAGGGTTGTTTGGGGATCTTGTGGCACATGGTGCACCAGGTCTGTATATTTGACTCTTCAAAAAGTGTGATTGGTTCTGCACAAAACTTTCACCACTATAATCATATATGTGCAGGTCATCTGGCTGTTGGTTCCTAGGAACTGATAGCCTGACCCTTATACATCATAAAAGGGGCCCCAGTCGGTGTGAGTCAACAGCCTACATCGATCAACAATGGGAGTGTCTACAATATATATACACACACATATATGATGACCTATCCCACCATTATATGGGGGTCCAACAGTGCAGTTCTTAGCAATAAACAGACAGACTACCTGCACATAGGAGTTGAATATAGCAATGAAGTTGAAGGCTAATTACTATAACTGAGAAGAATTTATATAATCCTAATATAAAATTTGCTACAATTATTTCAAAAACAGTTGAAAATTTAATTAACTCAAAAGAAAACATTCATGTTTAAGTTGCTAGTTGATGCTTCCAGACTTTACTTAAAAATATCTCATAATTGGAGAAATAAATTTTGTGACTTCACAATCCTTCTTTATTTTATTGGGTCTTCAACTTAAGAATATACAATTTTATGCCTGCATGAAAAAAAAAAAAATGACAATATTAAAACTTGGCAAAACTCTTGCATCAACTTATACTATACTCTTGTTTTACTTATTTGTATATACAAATATTATGCTTTTCTCTCCCACTGTCTAAAAATACCTCCATGACATTCATTTCAAATAGCATCTTGCAATTAAGTCTAACTCCAATCCAGAGAAGGGGCTTTGGTAGATGGAACTTGTCAGCCCAGGAAGGCAATCCATCTAAGGGAAGAAAAATGCTAATTTTAACACTACTACTACCTTGCAGTCATATCCAAACACGGAAAAAACTATGGAGGTAAATCCAGACAGAAGTCCCAAAGGCTGTTGTTTATCAACAATCTTTCAACAACACCTGCAACCAAGCCAATGTTCTGTATTCCTATGGCTCTTGTTGTGACAGTCAAGAGGGGAACATTGTTGGTCTGAGCAGTACACTGCCTGCTTATACTATCAGCAAAATCTGTGTCCTGGAGTGGTCACTAGTGTGCCACTAATGAGCTAAATTTTGACCAAACATGGGACTACCATTATTTCACAAGATAAACAGATTCCTATAACGACTAGGATTTTCTGCCTCAGATCAGAATGGTTAATCTCTGGCCTTTTGAACTGTAATCAGTTAAATATTTTGATTAAGAAACCAATATAATGATATTAAGTAGAAGTCTAGCAAACATCAGTTAGAAAATGAGATCAGAGAGCCAGGTTCAAATTCTGGCCAATGCTGTTGCATTCACCTTTGTACAAATACCCTCAAGAAAGGAAAACTCTGAATTTTCAAACAATGGAGAAAAAAATGAGAAACCACTCTATTATTTTGTCAGTTCAGAGAAAATAAAAATAAGGAATCTGTGGAGAGCCATGATCATCTATGTCCAGAAGAGACATGATGTTTATTTTAAGAATGAGAAAAGTGGATATGAAGAGTGAAAGGTAGGAGTTAACAAATGTAAAGGAAACAAGATGAAAAGAAAAAAATAAATATAAAAAGGATTGCTGAAAAGATCTCTTCACAACTCATTTCCCAAAATCAGTATTTCAATGTGGTTTTGGCAGAGTTGTCTGGGCTGTTATGGTGAACGAAAATTTTTCTTCTTCCGTATGAGTTTGAATCGTTGTTGCCAAATATTTGTTGTGGAGTGGAGTCACAGTGGAGGCTTGTATTTGTACTAAGTTGGTCCTAAAATAGGTTCAATGTACAAAATGTTAGGAACTTGATATAATAGGTAATGACACAGTAATCTAGTTGTGGTGGCTGATACTTTAATATCCGACTAATGGTCGTCCGACATCGACTGACTGACCAACCAACTCCCCAAGCAACTCCTACTACTCCTACTTATTATAGGTGGGAGAGTCTATTAACTATAGAATAGGTGTGTTCCACTATAACATGGGCTGACAATTTTTCAGCACTTGTACATATAGGGAAAATTAGAAGGGATGGCAATGAAATGATGACAGAAAGTCTTGCTGGTTGTATATTAGGAGACAATAAGCAAAAGACTGAAAGTCAGGTGGAGATACAACTTAACATTGCTTGAAAATGTTAATACATTAAAATTGTTCCTGGCAAGATAGAGTAAAAGTAAGATAAAAGAGAGAATGCTGTAGAAAGTATTTGTGTATTCCTTTTTCTTTTATTTTGCATATAAAAGTAATCCATGTTTTCAACCCCTGTGAAATTCCAATGGTTTCAGTTAATACAATTATATTTTAAACAAATATTGGAATTTAAAATAATTAATCTGAAAATAAGCTTAAGAATGTAATAAAACAAGGACACAGAACCACTGACCCTGTAAGAATCACACCACACTGACTATATATATATACCAAAATTCAAAGAATCACCCTCTTTTCTTCTAGAATATTCTTCCAGCAACAGTAAGCAAAAAGCTCTCCCTTTATCATTTACCCTGGACAGCAGCATTGGGCGATGTAAGAACTGAGCCAGTGACCTAAATAGAAATTACTGCTGTCCACATAAGCTAACAAGGGAATGAAAAGGTGGCCTTTTTTTCAACAAGTACCATTGACAAAATACCTAGATGCATTTTCTGCCAAGTCTTTTATGCACATTGTCTGCAAACAGTTCTTTTCCCTTTTCCTAATTAGGTATTAAAAAGGTTTGTTGTACTGCTTTCTCTTCAAAAGCTGTTGACCCAGTTTATTTGAGCACACAAGACTTAGCATTCACTCTCCATAAATGTGGGGTTGTATCATGGTGTAATATTGTGGACCTATTCACCACACATTATCCATTTACTGATAACAATGTTTACATATGTATTGACATGTGCTTGTATACATTAATTGATGGATGTGTCTATGTACATATTTGATGAATGTGTGTATGCATTGAATATATGTCTGCATGTATTTGATATGTCTATGTGCATATTGATACATGAAGACTCAATACAATTTTTTAAAAGAGTTTTATATAATTTGTTTAAAAGCAATTTTATATTTTTATAAAATTTTTCAAGGTTATTTTTAAGTATTTTTTGCTTCAAGGTTAATTTTAAGTATTTTTTTACATGCTTGTAACTTGTAAAATTTTTATCCTTCATTTTAGGAGACTGCTATATATGTGTTGATTTGCTTATCATTCCTTTCTGGGTTATTTAAAACTGAAATACATTTTGAATTTGTGAGAATAATTACTTTTTTTGCAAGGGAATATTGCATTAAACCTTTTTTAAAATAAAGATTTTTCTAGATACAAGTTCTACTATTTAAACCATACCTAGGGAGGTGGAGATTGAGAAAAAAGGGTATATATATATATATATATATATATATCTTATTTTTTTTTTGGAACTTTTTGTATTTCAAGAAAACTAAAACATATATTAGCTTGGCATTTAATCTCCTTCAAAATAGCCCTCTTCTGAAGCACCACATACTTTATCCA